CCCCTTATTAGCTGCAATAGCATTGTTGTTTTATAACCAGACCTGTAACAGGTGGCAGCCTCAGTGAAGACACCTTCACAGTCATGTTTACCACATACCTAGGGACAGTTTTGGGGCTTGCACTTCTCATGGAACAGAATAAACAGGGCCCTACCCTGCTGACAGGGTGTGGCCTTCGGCACTGTGTGCTTTGTATTAGCAGGTGCTTCCATGCCTTGGGATGGAACAGCACTCGGGTAACTAGAGGGCCCTGTGAGGTGGCACCTTCAGGCTCATGACACTGACACGAAGACTTGCATCCTTGGGTAACTGTGATGATGATGGGAGATCATTCACGAAAGAGTAAGATACTCTTTTACGGATTTTAATAGTGCGTCCGCAAGTGGCTCCATAGCCCAATTCTAGATCCACGTACCTTGTTATGGTGAGGACAGGTGTTTCTAGGAGGGATGGGCACTGTGTTGCCGTGTTGGATGTTCTTTTCACCTGTTCCTCTTTTCCTCTTCTGCCCATCGATGAGCTGTTTCAAAGTGTTGAGATCCCCCCCAAAGAGCCTTCCTCCATTGTGGTCAACCCTGAGCAAGGGTCTCTCAAACGTTGATGTCGATGTTACACCTCTTCATGTTTGCCTTCAAGGCATCTTTGAAGTGCTTTCTTTGCCCTCCGCTACTTCACTGACCTTCTTTCAGCTGTGAGGAAACTATTCTGTTTGAAAGGTGGAAGTCAGGCATGTGAACAACATGACCTGTCCAGGGAAGTTGGTTTTGGATGATCATGGCCGCAATCCTGCTGGAATTTGCTTCAGCCAAAACACTGATGTTTGTGCGTCTATCCTCCCAGCCAATCCAAAGGATCTTGCGAAGGCACCACTGGTGGTACTTTGCCAAGCCCTTGAGATGTTTTCTGTATGTGGTTCAAGTTTCCGAGCCATACAGCAGAGTTGGAATGACAACAGCTTGATAAACCAAGAGCTTCATTTCAGCGAGGAAGTCATGATTTAAGGAGTCTCTTACTCAGCAGACCCTTCACTGGGAGCTCTCTCAATGCAGATGACTTCAGTTGTACTCTCATAGCCCAGCTGGGCACCACCCTCAGGGTCCAAGTGAATCCATGTGGCAGCAGAATGCAGTGTCCCTAAGGGTTGGATTTAGGGAAGTACCACCCCTTGAAATCCTAGTGTCATAATGGGATACAGCAGGACTGATGCTGAAACCTCAGGTTTGGGTGTAACTGTGGGCACCTGGGACAGAGGGTTCAGTGCAGGGCAGCAATGGGGCACACAGGGCTGCATGAGGGGTGCCCTGCTATGTTTCTGTGGAACCCAGCATGGAAGCCTTGGCCAGACGCAATGAATTTCCCAGTCTCACTCCAGCTTCTCCCAATTTGGAGCGTGCTGTAGGCATACAGGTCCTGCTCTGGGGACTGCCAAGCTGAGCTAGTCCCAGGCATAAGTCACAAATGTTGTGCCCTGGGCCAAACCTCCCTACACCTTAAAGTGCATGTGGGACGGTGCCAAGTGCTGGAGAACAGGGAGGGAAGAAACACAGTCAATCTTATATGTCCCAGGCAGGCAACCTGCTCCCAGCTCCTCTAGTCAGGCAGCACAGAGCTGTTCCCCTCTTCCTCCCTCACCCCCATCCCTCCAACCGGAGGGCACAGGCACAAGGCTGTTCCCACCTTCCTCTTCCTCCCCTCTTTCTAGCCACCCAGCATGAGGCTTTCCTCCACCTCCGGTTCAGGCAGTACAGGTCTTTGCCTTTTCCTTGTTCCTCCAGCCAGCCAGCATGTAGCTTTCCTTCTCCCCGCCTCTGGCCAGTTAGCACAGATTTGTCACTTTGTGCCACTCCCCTACCCCGTCCCTCCAGCCAGCAGCACAAGGCTGTTCCTGACCAGCCTCTGCAGCTAGGCCAAGTTTGCCATGGAGCAGGTGAGCACAGCAAACAGGATTAACTCACTGCCCTTGTCCCCACTGGCCTCTGTGCCAGGGCAGTCAGCTGCAGAGCACTTCTTCAGCCCCAGGTCCTGTCCTATCTCTGTTCTCTCTTTGCTCACAGCTTTAGTCCCAACCCTTCCATATCACATACAGCAGCTGTGCATGCCACAGGCTGGCTACCCCAGCCTAGCACATGTTCTAACAGTGGAAGACTTCCATAACTCCATTCCAGAAACTTAAAGGTTTGAGGCCTGAAAGAGAGGTACTGCTGCTTACAAAAGCTTATGTATCTCTGATTTAGTTTATAAAGGGCATGTCTACCCTTCATTTTGCACAAGGCCTGAAAACCAAGGGAGTGCGAAGTGCAGCTACTAGCCCTGAACTATGAAATTCACCTTTAAAATGTTCTTAACAAATGAAAAAGGATGAACAGTTGCTCTAAATTTCCAATACATCTGAACCAGTCGGAGCAGCGGAGGGAAAAAATGAAACCAATATCTTCATTTTTGGTAAAGGTTCAATTTAGATAAAAATTAGTTAATGCAAGTAACATTGAGAAAAGCAACCAAAATATCTGGTAAGGATTGTGTTTGATGAGCTGCAGTTGGCATTTCTAATACAGATTTCCAATTTAGGAATTCTTGTTAGAACCTAGATTTCTCCCAGTTGAACAATGAACTGTGCACTTGGGGCCTATAATCTAAATGTTGTCTGTAGAGGCTACCAACAAGACCATGTTATATAGAGCATTATTTTTCATCTATTCATGGGATCATTTAATTATGATGTGGACCTTGTAACTATTATCCATGCTTTCATTATGTCAAAAGCAGTGTTTCAAGATCTCCAGTGGCTGCCAATGAGCCTTCTAGAACTTGAAAGGTTAGGACTGGTTTCTGTGACGCTTCTTCTCTCACTATATAATTCAGCTGTAACAAAAGTGAGTGGATGCATGCCAGATGAAGTCCACTTAGACTGAACAGCTCGGGGCTGCTGGCAAGTTGGCAGAATTGCTGGTTAACATGCTCTCCAACCTGGAATTCACTTCTCCTGCTGTTCTGCCAGACTTGTTGACCATTATAGACAAGTTAGAAAGTCCATCCTTTTTTTCCCCTCGCTCTACTGTATCAAGGGGGATATATGTTGATGGTTAGGGGAAAGTCATGATTACTTATGGGTTAATTACATTAATGCGGAAGGCTGCCAAGTACTTTATACTAAATATATTATTTGAGCATCTGGTGCTTTAAATTTTGTAAAGAGCCAGAGTAACAGATGGGCAATAAATTAAAATTACTTCAGAATGCAAGAGATACAAAATAGACAGCACAAACAGAAAAAAAAACCTCTCCAAGATATTGGGGGTACTTAAACACCTCTGACCCCGCTATTCATTGCACGAGAAACTAGGTTCCTCTGAAGTGACCTTTGAGTTCATAATCAAAGGACTTCAAGGGCTAATTTTGACAAGAGAGAAAGGAGAAGTGGTCTAATGTTTCAAGAAAGCACCTGGCAAGCAGGCAAAGAAAAGAACAAATAATAAGTTGATGTGAGAACAGCTCAAAAAATTAACAAACATAACAAAGGTTGAAACCTTCAAGGAAAACTAGCTTATTCAGCTGATAGCTAAAGTATAAAACCAGTGTGCCAACATATATTTATTTTCTTTTTATTAGGGATCTGATCCAAAGGATATTCAGGACACAAAAATACTGTAATTTTTTTTAAAGGGGGGGTGTTGTTAGACAGAAGCTGCCAATGCACCAAGAAGTCTCAGGAGTATCTTTCCCAAAAGCAATTAGAAATAAACTGACTTTAGGAAATAAAGACTGTCAAAGCCACTGTCTGAGGTATGTGCGCGTCAGCAATTCAGAACTTAACTTTTATGGGTTCCCACGCAGTCTTTTGCCAAAAGCAAAGACCAACAATCAGAAACCCAGTAAGACAATTATCTTTGGGGTCTCCTACTCCACTTATAACAAGAATGAGCAAATCTTTAATAAGCATAACCTGGAACATACAGTAAGAATTCAACAGAAATAAATACGCAATTAACAAAAAAATTAATGATGAGACAGACTACAACTTCAGCACGTGCCCTTTCATTTCAACAATAAGAATTACGAAGTGATAGGATTTACAACATTTATTACTAGAAGATATTAAATATGTTGTGTGACAAAGCCATTTAAGAACTGAAGAAAGTATAGTTTCATCTCATTTATTTAAAACATGATTTTTTTTAGTACCTACATCACATAAAATTAAACACAGAACAGTAATGTAACTTACCTTAAGTTAATTAAAAAGTTGTTGAGAACCGGGAAATATCTGTATAATTTTTTTTTGTAAATATCACAAACCACTTAGTGTATACTAAGGACAAGCTGCATCTACCTTGGTCCTTAAGAAGAACACCTAAAGTATGCAAGCTAGCATGCACATAGATCTCATGTGCCATTTCTGGAGTGGTATAGACCTTCTGGCAAAATAAATCATACCATGTTAGAGAAGCTGCTTCTGTGTCACTGCATCTAATCAATGTCCACAGTAATGTCCCTGAATAGAAGCTTTTGAATGTGACAGATCTATTAAGCCTGGTAAATACAGGCTCCTAGCCGTACACCCAGACGTGTATCCTAAGCATCCAAGTGAGGAATGGATGGAGTGCAAGTCCCATACCAAAGACAAGGGGACACCAAAACCCCTCATTTTAAAGAAATATACTACAGGCATTAGATGGATGGCTAGGAGGGGGCAGCCTACACAGGGATTCTGACAGAAGATATTTCTGAGGAAACAAAATTCCATCTCACCCTATGATGAAAAAGAAGATATTGAAGCTGCTGTTTTTAGAATACTGGCTTTCTACATAGTGTTCTATTCTTCATTTGTACATGGCATATCATGACTAATGCACAAAACCTGCAGTTTTTTCACCACACCCTTTAAAATAACTCTTGCCCTTTGCAAACTACCATACGAGTTCCCTAAAAGTAACTTACAGCTGCTTTTCAGAAGCTGTGCATTTCAAGACTAGGACAATGGCAGCATATATTTAACTTACCAAATAAGTTCCCATTTCTTTTTCCATATTGATTTGCTCAAATAATGAAAGGTCAGAATCCATTTTTGAGGCACACATCCTTTTCTTTATCTTCTTATTATGTCTCTTTTGGAGCCAGTAAGGAAATAGGGCTTCTGCAAATTGATTAAGGATCTGTGATGTTATTAGCAGAGTGGCCAAGCTCTAAAGAAAATGAAATAAAACAACATTTGTTTAACAAGAGGGTGATGTACTTATAATAATGAAATAATTTGTGCACTGAGATAACACTGTCAATGGCTATTATGAGACAATCAAGTCTCAAGCCAGGCTAGTGGTCTTGCAATATCACAATACAACAGAAGGATCCAATTTCCAGTTTCTACTATGGGTTAGTAGAAACTAATTAAGAATTAGATGCCTAAAGACTTTTTAGGGATCTAGGTCTAAGTGCTGTGGAGATTTTAGATATTTTAGGCTTACTCCAATGTGAGAGAAAGAAATCCTTTGCTAATATGTACCAAGGACTAATAACTAAGGGCTCCTATACAAGTGCGCAGAGCCTGCTCCAATGTGCTGGAAATCCAGTACGTCGAAGCAGACTCGATTAGCTGTGTCTGCTGGAGCTCAGAAACTGACACGCTCCAGCAGCCTTCCATGTCATGTGTATCAGCATCCCAGCACATCTCCATGCTGAAAAAATGGCGGCAGGGGCGCTTTGGAATAAAATACATACAAGGAGCTTTATTTCAAAGCATTCCACCACCATTTTTTCAGTGAGGGGACACGCAGGGATGTTGATTCACATGATGCACAGGCACTTTTAATTAGCACTGCTCCCTAATTGGGAAAAATGCCCACAGTAACAAGACTAGACAGTGTTTCAGAGTCTCAGAAGCTAGCCAAATTAATCCCTTTTCAGACACAAAAAGAATTTATGAAAAGAGGGAAATAAAGGAATCTTTGTAGATCACAAACTAGAACGACATCCCCAAATCATAGACAATCTAAAGCAATGTAATACGTAAGATAACATTTCATTTTTAATTTCAAACATCAAAAAAAAAGTTTTATGATTTTTGGTATATAGGAAAACCACTGAAAAATGGCTGCTTTTGTTTGATGCTTTGTTTCCCTTTTTATCATTTAGCTTGACATTAAAATCAAGTCTGCCAGAGGTCTCCTCGGAAGGCCAGAGAACTAGAAGTGAAATTTTCAACATTAACGAAGAGAAGACCATTGAGTTGCTTTAAAGAAGGATATTTTTCCTTCCTATTACTTTCCCATACATTTAAGTTAAACAGATATTAACAAAAGTAGAAAGTAATTTTTAAAATGTGACTAAAAATGATTCCCCTCTTTCACTCCTTGTTGAATTCTTGTGATGGATATAATCCTACTGTTCTTTAACCAACAGAAGTTCTCAGGAAGAAAACAAAGGAAACTTGACTTTCTAATCTAAAAAATCAGAAAAATGCAATCTTTTACCTTTTTTCCTTTACAAGTCAACTTGTTTGAAAACATCCATACATTTTATTCATGCTTTGTTCATACTTCTGTGATTTTGCAAATATATTAGAGACACTAAAATATGGACACAACTGGATTTGTATGATAACATTAACATGCGGCTAAGGATATGCTGTATATTTAGAAGAGCTAAAAGCGTACTATATTTCTGCTTCAAAAAACTGTGTACTACTTAGATATCTTACTGTTCCCAGAACTCACCTGTCGCAGAAGTTTCATATCAAAAAGGACAAAAGCAATGTAGAAGAGGGAGGCAAAGCAGTTTAAGAAGTTGAACTGCAAATAAATAAATAAATAATATTATTATGCAGGAAGTTCACTGTATAAGAACAAATGAATTATATGATCAGTATGTAGCATCCCAGGGCAGATCCAGAAGGGATGCCACTGCACCACCCCTTTGGCTGTATGGTACCTGTTCAGTGAGTTCTCTGGCTTTTCTGCATTATTCTGGAACCCAGGGGGTGAATGCTGCCACTGCTCACCCCTTTCTACTTCCCCCAGGTTTCAGGGCTGTACCAAAGCAGCAGCTCTGGTCAGCAGCTACATTGACAAGCTGAAGACAAGCAGAGAGCTCACTGTGTGCACACCATACAGCAGAAGGGATGCTTGGCCACTCTCCTCCCCAATTCACCTCCTGGATCTATCCATGGTAGCGCCTGATTTAATAGTTAATTAAATTAAATTAAACAGTTGTTGTCCAGGTGAAAACTATGCATTAAAAATATTTTTATCTGTATAACTCAGCTTAGATTTCTAATCTACTTTTCAACAACCTATGTGATTTTTTTTTGTTGTTGCACTTCTCACCATTGGCAATGAACTTAGACTGTTTGTATTTTAGGCACCTCTGAAAATCCCAAGTCAGTTATACACCTAACTTCTCGAAGTTCCAAGCAAAACTGGAACTATACAAATAGAATAAAACAGGTATTTTTTGTTCTGTAGTGTCTATGTTGCAATCAGAGGCATGACTGTTATTCATGAAAACAAACATGAGTTGGCTTCAAACCAGCTAAACCAATCACTGAAATATTTACCTCATTTTTGGGTGAGGTCCCTTTTGTCACAATTATGTTTCTACAAGTACCTAAGCTAGCTCTGCAAATACATCTTTTACAGCAAAAGTGTACTTTAACACAAAGGTACAACAAAAAAAGCAAAAGGAGAGCTGGAAGGAAAAGAAAAGAAAGAGTAATCAGACTTATAAAGCTAGCTTTGTCCCTGGTTCAGGGAAGCATTGCTATTAAAAAAAAACACAACACTTATGAACAAGATTATTGTTTTCCTAAAGTGGGGCATAGCTATTTTACAAATATAAAACATAAACACAGGGATATATACAAAAAATATTCAAAATTCCTATAGCCATATAGCTAGCTTTTAACCACTGGCAATTTCCCATAGGCAACATATTCAAAAATAGATCTTAGAAAGATATTTGAAGCAGGACAAATTTTGGTCTTTAAAAAAAAAACAAAAAAAACTAAACCAACAACTTATACATTTTATTTAAACTGAGGTCTCAATGTTGGAAATAATTTATAAATGTGAATCTGCTGGATTATTTACTGCAGGATGGACATATGGATACAAGATATACGCTGTTTGGATGCAAGGTTCATTCTACGAGTTTAATAAATACTCTCTATATTTAAAATGGAATAAATCACTGTAACCAGTACTGCTAGATGTTTAAATTGCGATCAATATATGTATTTAGCAACCCAATGAAATGAAAGAAATCTCCACCTAAATACATGGATTATGTGCACTTTGGTAAGTATGATAAATGTTCTGCATATTTTTACATATGTATATTCACATCTTACGCATATTATATATACACATATCTTTATATTTATATGATTGGTAATATGTTACACACAAAAAATAATATGTGCATGTTCTATAGGAATAGAATTCCCCTTTCTCCTGAAACCTTGCTAGCATATCTCATTGATGGCAAGTAGGATTAATTTTTTGGTTCATGACTACCTGGACAGTCCACTAAGAGTTGTATCTAGGTATCACACGTAAACATCACACCTAAATACAACTCTAAGTAGACTGCCCAGCTGATCATAAGTCTATTCTCTATCAATGCGACAAGGTTTTGGAAAAATGGGAGTTCTATTCATTCCACCTCTCAGCTTCAATCCCTCCTCTGCATTTGTTAATACAAATCTATCATTACCTTTGCCATCTGCGAAGTCTGCAAATTAGGAGAATAAACTTGTTGAAGGCTCCATAAACCCGTACAGGGAAATAATATTCACTATTTAGCTTATTTTGCAAATAATGTGCCCTAAAATGTTATGTAATCATGCATAGAAGTAAAATTTATCTATGTAAGTTTGGTTATGAACAATTAGACAGTCAATGGTTTTGGAAAGCATATTTTTCATTTACCAATCAGCAGGTTTTCTGAGGTCTCCCATGTTTTAATTTCCAGCGATTTTTAATTTCTAACAAGATAACAGGAGATGTTCTGCAAACAGAATCTAATGTTCTATTGCCATGTTGCACCAAGAGCACCTACCCTCTACTGCTGCATAAAGTACCATTACAAGAACAAGCTCAACAAAAAAAAACAAAAAAAAAACAACTGTACTTTGGGAGTGATTTACCAGAAATATACAGAAAGAACTCCTATAAGTTAGCAAAATCCAGTTACTAAAAATAAATAAATAAATAAAAACCCCTCTAATGCACACCACATAAGCCTAGAATTAACATTTTTAATTCAGTTAGGAAAGTGAAAAATCCATTTATAAATATTAGCTGGTGACTCGTGGAAAAACATTTCATTAAGGAAATGTTTGTTTGCAATATGTTTCTCCTTTTTTAATCACTGGAGGTATAAAATTGAACTTGTTTACACACTTATCTGTTCCTGATGATTATAAAATTATAAGAAGCTGCAATGGCATTCATTTGAAGATAGGATTACAACAAAGTAGAGGATGATGACCTCAAGAAGAATAAGCAGCAGGAACAGAAAAGCTGTTTAGTAATAAAAGGAGTTTAAAATTATATTTTCAAAATAAGATTTGGAATATCTCAATTTTTGGGTGTCCAACTTGAACATATTAACCAGGCATGCTTTTCAGAAGACAGATACTCAATTGTCTCTGAAAACAAGAAGGGTTCCATTTTAAATTAATATTTAAAAACCAATATGGCTAAATGGATTTATTTCTGATTTTGATGTGCAATTCCATCTGGGCTGAAATCAGGTATGGAATGTGCCAACTTAAAGGAAATATTTAGAAAAATGTTTGAAAGACAGCAAAGCCATGGCTGACAGCTAAGGTGTAGTCTTGGATCTGGTGCTTAATATTATAACAGCTGTATTAGACAGAGCACTTTTTGAAATAATGCTTTCCAATTTTTTTTCAAAAAGCAGGCATTAGTGAATACATTTGGAAAGATGGTATTAGAGTTATTTGCAAAAGGAATACAGTAGCATAAGTTGCAAAAAATTAGCCAATCTTGACCACAGTCCTATGCTAAATATCTTATATTTATGATTCTAATTATGTAGTGTATTTCCTTCTAATTCATGCTGTACTAGGAGATATACGTAAAAAAGCAAGCAAACATCTATACACAACTTACTGCCAGTTGCACAGTAAACAGTTCAGCACATGCTATAATAGCCTGAACCTGCAAACACTTATACACACGCATAACTGTTCTCCTGTGTTTGTTCATGTGAATATGATAATGTATGTTCAACTATTTGTACAATTTGGATCTAAAAACCAAGTACTGTATCTGGGAATATTAATAGATAAGTGAAAGTGAAGACAGAAGTTTCTGGTAAGTAAATTGAAAATGTCATCTTTTAAAAACCATGACAGCTTCCAGTTAAGAAAGTACCCCTTGAAGAAAAATGAACACAAACAATGCATCTGGAATCTTGAAAGTAAAAATGTCTACGTGGGAAAGCTGACACAGTTCCTCAATATCAGTTAGCCACTGAGGAAAGGAACTTCTAAAGACACAACATACTCTGTCCTTATTAGAAAATGAAAACTGCTTATATTTAACATACTTACCACAAGGACTTTCAGAATTAAATGATTCTGATGAGAGGATTCCAATCTGTGATTCTCTGAAATATTAACATAATGATTAACCGATAAGCAGTACAAACCAAATACAGTAGATACAATTTATGCCATCACAAGAGTAAACAAGAAACAACTCCCCAGCTGAGAGGGAAATATTTAAACAACATCCAACAGGAAAAAGTCTGAACTGTGCTGTTACTGCCTCAATGGTTAACTTATCCTCAATTAATCTCATCTGTAACACTAAAAAAAAAAAACTGGCTATAAAACATTAGTATGGTTTAAAAAAGGGTATTTGCATCTAAAACATTTCTCTTTGTAGAAGAGCAATTTTATAATCATATATAGTATGAAAACGTTATTAAATACTGGGGTTCTGATTCTACACCCATTGAAATCAAATGGAAAAAATACATGGTGTGGGAAGTAAAGCAAAATTGAAACAAACAACATTGAATCTAATTTATACCCCATGAAAGTCAATGGACAGACCTCCAATGGATTCCCATGGGCTTTGGATCAGGCCCTACAACTAGAAAGGACCTAGTCAAATGTACACTTGGAGTGGCTTTAGAAGAGGTCGCAATATGATGCTCAGGAGTGCACAGTAGCTGTTATGGCGCAACCTTCATGGGCGCATGATCCTATAGAAATACAAAGCTATAAACAGACACCTTATTTCTCCTGAGAGAAAGCCTGTTGTCCCTGAATTCCACACCCACTTTCCACATCAAGTAACTGTAAAACATGTTGAATAAAATATGCTAACACTTTTTCCTTGGGACAATGCTCTGTATGTCTGTAAGCTGATCAAGGCTCATTTACCTTAATTGTGGTTCATTCCAGGGACAATTCTGTCAGGCTGTGCCCTCTTCAGCATCAGGTATCAGCCGAAGAGTAGCAAAGCAACTTGGAAGGGCTGTGTGTGTAAACAGCTGTTTTGATCCAAGTCAAAACCCAGCACACACAGTCCACAGTCAGAGTTGTCTGTTTACAGCCAAAGGAAGCTAACTCACCCCAAATGTAACCCTGGATGAAACAGGGCTAAAGTTAGAAAAACAATACTGATGTTTTATAGCCAGTGTTGTATATGCTACGTATATATGGTTATAGGTTCATTCACAACAGTGTAACAGCTGCTGACCCCTGAGGAACAGCTGACCATCCTCTTCTGAAGCTGCTCCAAAGTCCATGCTTTCTCCCTCCCCTGCCAATACTAAAAGTACAAACCATATCTGCCATTGCAGATTAGTACTTCATGCGATTCAGGCTTTAGGATTCTGATACTGCCTAACCTCTCATGAGTTCCTGGTTGTTGGTGGGGAAGGCTTGTTTTGAGCGGTTTTTGTTTGTTTGTTTGTGGGGAGGGGGGTTAAACTATTTTATCAATGCATGTTTTCAGTATCTTCAACCTCGCAGTTCCTATTTAAGCAACAGTTAAGATCACAAGGGTGATATTTGCAAATCCTTACTTTTCAGAATAGAACTTCACTTCCAAATAAAAAGACTGGTCATGTATGAATCATCTGAAGGTTTAAGGAAATCAGAAGTTAAAATGTTTGTTTTCTAAATGACAGACTCAGGAGTAGTTTTAATTATGAGACATAAAATGGATTTTCCTTATCAAAAGATGACTCAACTCTAATATTTTTAGTCTTTGTGAGGGCTTAGGTAGCTGGAAGAATTTCTTTGGGGAACAGGAGGAAAGGGGAGATTTTTATATGGCTTGTAATGTTCTTGATGCTTTGGGATATGTAGGGAATACTTGTTATTTTAGTTTTGTAATTATTTTTGTATTGTACTTATACTTTTAGATTATGGCAAGGATCCCCAAAGCCCAGCACATTCTTCTGTGTATTTAAACCCATAAAAATAAATACACTATGAATTACAGAGACCTGAAGTATAAGTGAAGGGTCAGGTACCTACATAATGTAATAATAAATGTTTACATTGTGTTTTCAATGCTGTAAAAATCGGTCCCTAATGGGAAAAAAAAGATGTTTCGTTGAAAACAACAGACCCCGAGTTTTGAAACAGAAGGCAGGGTACACTTCTATGCTATGTACAGACATTCAAAAAGCTTGAGCCTGTATCAATTCAATCTCTGCAGGTTAGTCTAACCCGCATTGATTGAACTGGCAAGCAAGAGAATAGACATTCATTTTTTATTCCAGAAATGCAGGCACATGCCTATGGTGGTTCAGGCCAGAAGCCAGGGGGTGCTAGAGCAAGCCCTCGGCTGCAGAAAAACTGAGCTGGGGGGGCAGGGGTTGGCCAGGCCCTGGAAGGCTGAGTATGATTAAGGAGGGGTTTAAACCCCCATCCTGACCTGCACGGTCCCCAGTCAGGTGTGCCTGGAGGGGGAAGGGGAAAGCAGCCCCTGCCAGGCATTTCCCACGCTCCCCCCTTGCCACTCATGTGGCAGAGCACATGGCCAGCCCTGGCAGCAGCCTCAAGTGAAAGGGGAGACAGAGAGGGGTTTAATTCCCCCTCCCTCCCCTGTCCCACCAGCACAGACCCCAGCTGGGTCTTCCTGGCCAAGGCAGAGCAGCCCATACCAGGGTCCCCCCTGCCTCGCTGTTGCAGTAGTAGGGGTGTGGCCAGACACCATCCTGGCATGGGCCCCTGAGGCAAAGCAAGCAAAGAAGGGGATTTATTCCCCACTCCCTCGCCTCTCCCACCAGAGGACCCCAGCCAGCAAGGTTTGCCTGGCCAGAGCAGAGCAGCCCCTGTCAAGCACTCTGCCTCACCTCGTCACTGGAGCGGCAGGCAGCACGTCAAGCCCCAGCAGCAGCCTCAAACAAAAAGGGGACAGAGGCGAGTTTAATTCCTCATGCCCTCCCCTGTCCCACCAGCATGGCCCCAAGCCAGGGTCTGCCTGGCCAGGATACAGAAGCCCCTGTCAGGGTCACTCCCCTGTCACTGCTCCTGTAGCAGGGGTGGGTGCATGGCTAGATGCCAGCTGGCATGGCCCCCCTGAGGCAAAGGGGGCAGGGAGGGGATTTATTCCCCCCTCCACCCCCTTTCCCCTCAGGGGACTACAGCCAGGGTCTGCCAGCCCCTGGCTGCCACCTCCGCCACTTGTACCCTGCCAGGCAGACCCCAACTAGGGTTCCCCAGGGGAAGAAAAGAGGGAGGGGGGAAATAAACCCCCTCCCTGTCCCCTTCACCTCAGGGGGCCATGACAAACTGGTGTCTGGCCACACCTCTGCCCCTGAACTGGTGGGGGGACTGCATTGCAGGCAGAAGCAGGGTTGGCAGAGCTACTGCAGCCTGAGCAGGGCATATGGCAGCAGCAGAGCTTGAAGGGATGGCTACAGGGGCTAAGATGAATTTTGGGGTTGCCTTAACGCCCCAAGCCCCCCTAGCACCACTGCCATTTGTCCCACGCAGGCTGCAGCAGCTCTGCACACCCTGCTTCCACCTGCAGGGCAGCCCCACCCCCTCTCCCCTGGAAGAGACTTGCACGCCCCAGGACACCATGACAGGGGTTGTTGGCCCATCAGGGTCCCTCCCCCCTCACCAGTCCAGCAGCAGGGGCAGGGGGGCCAGATGCCGGCCGGCATGCCCCCAAGGTGAAGGGGGCAGGGAGGGGGTTTATTCCTCCCTCCCTCCCCTCTACCCGCAGGGAATCCCAGCCGGGGTCCATCTGGCCAGGGGCAAACAGCAGAAGCAGCTGCCGGGGCTGGCAGACCCGGCTGCAGCCCCCCAGGAGGAGTGGATGGATGGAAGAATAAACCTCCTTACTGCCCCCTTCACCTCAGGGAGGCATGCTGGCCAGTGTCTGGCTATGCCCCCACCTCTGCCACTGCAGCCGGGTTGGGGGGGGGGGGGGGGGGCGGGAGCGGGGGGGGGGGGGGGGTGCACCTGACATTGGCTGCTCCACCCTAGCCAGGCAGACCCTGGCATGCCAGTGGGACAGGGAAGGGTTTTTGGGGTGGGGGGGGGAATTAAACCCTCCTCTGTCCCCCATTAGTTTGAGGGAACCATGGGTGGCTGACTAATGCCAACATCAAGCATGGAAGACACTAAGAGCAGGCAGTTGCAAAGCACTCCAATCCAGAGATGGAGGTAAGAAGGATGAACAGAAATCATGAAAACTTTTAAGTCAAGGTTAATGTTTAGGTAATGGAAAACATATGCATGTAGACCAATTATTTTTACCCTTTATCATGCTTTTTCTGTACTATCAGTCACATGATAAATGCTTCTTTTTTTTTTCTTTTTTTTTTTTAAGAAGATTTTTGTCCGTTTTTCAATGGGAAATAATGCAGTCAAGTTTTGATTATACAAAAGTAGTTGATTTGGAAGAGGAAACAAAAGCTGCAGCTAGCAAGTCAAATCTTTCAGATCTGGCCAACACAGACTTCTAAATTAGCTCAATTACCTTAACAATATCTTGGAATTGGACCAATCTGAAAAAAAACCTTTAGCTAAATATTGATGGCCTCTCAGCAACTAAAACACCTCATTCTCTCAGTCCTGCCCTCTAAACAACATGTTGACTCCCATCCTGCCAGCTGCCTTAATATCAAGTGGCCTTATGATCTACTCTCTTAACAGTGAGCTATGACACATTAAAGTAGATCTTTCTAATGCAGAACCACTCCCATCTAATTCAGATCCCTGATATATTGTAAGGGTCAATAATTTCACAGCAGCAAATGTTCCACTGCAGCAGCAACCTAGTCCACTCCAAATATTTCTCCTACGTTTTCACACCCTGCCATCAATAGTGGAAATTTTATGAGCTATCACATCACCTGTGGTAGGAGAAGCAGAGGGAGAGCAGTTAAGACATCTTGCTATGACCTAAAGGTGCAAAATCAAGTTCTGACTAACACTTCCACCTCAGACCAACCCAGTTAAATCCAGCTCTAAGTGGTATTCAGACTGGCAAGTCAAAGGAGGCTGGATGTGATGCCTGCCACATCACTGCACTGTATACACTTGCTACAGAAACTCAAGTGGCTTAACCATGCTAGCCTGAAGCCCCACTTAGGCCAATCCAAGTATTTTAACATTACCTGGGGTTACAGAAGATCAGATAAACTGAAACTGCCCTCTGAACTGGTTTTCACTTTATAATTTTTATATTATCCAGGACCCAAAACAGCAAATATTTTTCATTCATCCAGATGAGACGCTTCTCAGGGTCAACACCACCTGATCCTTACTGAAGTAGGTGTAGTTATATCTACTACGAACACAAACAACAACCCTCCTGGAATCAACAGGGAAAAAAAACTCACACCTGCACTATTCGCAAACCATGGTATCTTTTGTATCCTCTTCAGTGCAGACATTTGCATGCAGAGCCATTTCTCAAACTGCCCCCAAGCCAATTCCAAGAAGCAGTTATAAAACTAAGACCCCCACATCTGGATAAAAAATATGCAGAACTCCTCAAATAATACAAACAGTTATCACAACTGATCAATCCAGGTATCACAACACATCTTTTAGAAGCTGGATTCCTTCCAAAAAGGAAAGTAGGAACAGGCCATTGAAAAACTGAATTCACAAAGATACACCTGAGAAGCCTAAGAACTGATCAGAAAATTTAGCAGCTGTTAGTACCAGACCATTCCTGCATTTCTCCGAACAAAATGAATGCCAAACTGATAAAGAAAAGAGGACAAAAAATATTGGAAGGAGCAAAGACGACATGGCAGCAAATCAAATAATACATACCTGAAAACAAAAACAACTTCCAGCCTTTCAATGCAAAGGAAATATAAAGGGAAACTGAAACAGGCAAACCTATGGACTTGACAACAAATCTGCAAATTCCTGAAGAACCTGGGAAAAATTAGCAGAAACTGCCTAGCCACCTATTTAATCCTTCAGAAGAATAAAACACATACAATCTGACACACAACAATCATAACCTGGCTAAAACATAACAAGTAGATTTGAGCCCAAAACCACATAGTACTTGTGGTTAAGTGCTGGTGCTCTACATCTATCTACACTGAGAATGACTTCTTCCCAGCATCACTGCCAACCATTTACATGGAAATCATGTCTGACAGTACAGGACCAGGACATCAGTCATCTAACAGAAGTCCTGAATACTTATGAGAGAGATGGTTCAATACCGCAAACGATGAAAACTTAAACTCAAGTGCCACAGTTTCCATCTATACCACACACACAAATGCCAACAAAAAGCTCAGCATTTTTCTGAATAGTCACAGAAAGAACCATGACTCAAAGCTTTCCTGGGCATTACATCAGAGTATGCCTTAAATCTCAATGAACTTCTCACCAAAACCTCACTGAAAACAAGGACAGGAAACAATCTGATCAGCCAACAAGCTGGTTCAAACTAAGGAGTCAGTTCACAGACTTTTAGGGTATGGATAAATGTTCACTTAGAGCAGTTCCAAAAAAAGGGAGATGAAGTTGTTGCTCCACACAAGCAGCTGATACACTGAAAAAGTTATTTATACAGGAGCAAAACCACTCCAAAATTATCCCTGCTTCATCCAAGGATAAAACTGAGGCAATTTAGCTCTAGGTTTTCTTTGAACTATTCTGCAAAGTAGCAGTCCCCAAGGTGGCTCAAATCTCTTCACATAGGACTATCAGACATTCAGTTAATGAAGATATGCAAATAAACAGGCACCCCAAGAAGGAGGGGTCTACATCGTCCCTCCTGATAACAGGCAACAAGTGGTCTTCCAATACCCTTCAACAGCTGTCATGTCACCCTGGTTGAGCATCACTTTAAACTGCTTGTAGATGTTTAAAACAAACAAACAAACAAACCAACAAACAAACCCAAAAACCAAAACAAAACCCAAAACCCTGTGCTTTAATCAGAAGAAGCAGTACATTAGTTTAACCTGGCTCTGCAGCATCTGTATAGATCAGGCACCTCAGTAGGGCTTTTTGGCGCTTTTAGCTAAAGCCGATTCATTCAGCTATTAGATAAGAGTGCAAAAAGCCCCAGTAAAGCACTCGATCTATACAGACATTGGGCGAGCCACACCCAATTAACACTCTGCTTCTTCCAGTAAAGTACAGGGTTTTCTTGTTTGTTTGTTAACATCTGCAAGCAGCCTTAGACTAATATACTTAATCATCTATTTAAATGTAATCACAACACATCAAACTGTGAGCACAGCTGCCTGAATGAAAAGTACTCAATGGTGTCACACTGCTGAGCTAGTTGTGTCAACACAGTTGAGAAACATGGAAAAAAACACTCAGGGCGACTGGACAGCAGGGTTTCACTCTAAAAGAAATGCAGGAAGCCAAGCCTGTCATCTAAGGAATGCTCTCCAAAGTTACCGAAAGGGTTCTAAAACATGAATCACCCTATAACTATCATACTTTCTTATCCTCATAGGTGACGCATAAGAGCTGACAGTAGGGGGACACAACTCTGTGCTGTTGGTGCCTCTGCCACCAGGCTTTGGGTCCAGCCAGGCTGCTGCCCCACACCCCACCACTGGCACAGAAATTGCACTGCAGACACAACCCCCACTGCTGCTGGACCCTGACTGGCTAGATGGCAGTCCCATGCCCCACTGTTATTGCAGAAGTCTTGAGGGGGAAATGTGCCTCCCCAACACATCGCTCAAATTGGGTGTGATATTTTGTGGTCCAGATTGCAATTTTGTGAAGTGTTGTTTCAAAATATATTTTCCATTTTGAACTTTATCACTTTTGCGGACAAGGGCATACACTTTTGGACTGATTTGAGTAATGGTCAGATAAGTTGTTTCTATAGCTCAAAGCAGTATATGATTTAACATAGTAAAATCAAAATTAACGAGGCTGGGACCCCAAGAACCAAATCTCAGGAAGATTAACCGAAGAGGAGAGCAGCTTAGACAATAGACTAAACAGATTTCAGTAATGCATGCTAACCCCTTTTGCACAGAACTTAATACTACCAGACAGCAGCAACACAAAAGCAAACAGTGTCTTGATATGGATATGTTTGGGATCAGCATATGCTGAATATTCAGAGATTGCTGTTCTGAAACTACATTTCACCTGCAACTCTTCATTTAAATATTAACAAAGCTAGGAGTTACTTTTGATACCAAGTGTCTTCTCCAAGTTCAAAAAACATATATGCTTTGTGATCCTAACGATCCTCTTCAATCCTTTTGGCTTGTGCAGATTTTACTTTACTCAAAACACTATGGCCTCACAATCTCTAATTTCACAGGTTAAGATGTAAAAAGACTTCTTAGTTCAGCATGGTCAGACATACCTGCATTCTCAATCAAACTATCTACAACCACTCAAAGTCTAAACCTGCACAAGCCAAAAGGATTGAAGAGGTTAATTAGGATTACAAAGCATATATGTTTTCTGAACTTGGAGAAGACACTTGGTATCAAACGTAGCTCCTAGCTTTGTCAATATTTAGTTAAGGAGTTGCATGCAAAATGTATTGGGCTTGTATCTTAACCCTCCATAATTAGAACAGAAAAACCTGTAGTCACTGGCACCCTGCAATATCTGTTCCCCACAATTTAATGACAGAAATAAAACAAGATAAACAACTGAAGACAAAATAGAAACTTAAAAATTATTTTTAGAAAAACAAATCTTTGAATGTTGAGCATATGCTGATCCCAAACATATCCATATTAAGAAATTGTTTGCTTTTTTGTTGCTGGTGTCCAGTAATATTAATACTGTGCAAAAGGTGTTAGCATGCATTACTGAAATCTGTTTAGTCTACTGGCTAAACTGCTCTCCTCTTCAGTTAATCTTCCTGAGACTGGTTCTCAGGGTCCCAGCCTTGTTAATTTTGATTTTACTGTGTTAAATCATATATTGCATTGAGCTATAGAAACAACTTATCTGACCATTACTCAAATCAGTCCAAATGTGTATGCCCTTGTCCACAAAAGTGATAAAAGTTCAAACTGGAAAATATATTTTGAAACCACGCTTCACAATATTGCAGTCTGGACCACAAAATATCACATCCAGTTCATTAAAAATAAGTCATAGGAACAGTCAGACATTATCTTTCCCGCTACCTCTTGATAAAACGCATGGAATCTTGTAAATGAGGTTTTTTTTAAAATTCCAGAACAGGATGCTGTTTTAGGTTTTGTTTTTTGGAGGTTTTTTAATTGTCATTATCTATATTTCCATATTCCTGCTTGTTTCCTCCTAAGGGCCATATCACTCATCAAATCCCTATAGCATCACTGTCAGACTACTGCAATTAGAAAACTAAAACACTGGACAGTTAAACTCTTTTGTTTTACTATACTACTAGTAAAAGTTTGCTTCAAGAATTCCCTGAAATAATGGGGGCTAATCTTTTGACAGCAGTACCACAAATTAACCCTGCGCCTCCAAAAGTGCCACTCCGATCCCCTTCTCCTGCCATCTGCTACTCTGCTTTCTGCTCTCAGCCCTATGCTCCCTGCCTGATGTGCTGCTCTACTTTATGCTTCCTTCCCTGTGCTCCCCCTGCCTACTTTGTAGCTTTGTTTTCTCCTTCCTGCCCTATTGGCTGGCTGCTGTGCTGTCCGTCCCCTCCCCGATCTACCAAGTGCCACACAAAGGCTCCTCATGCCACCTGCGGCAACCAAGCTGCAGGTTGACCACCCCCACTCTTAAACATCTGTTGTACGCTTATGCCATTCAACAAGAACTCGTAAGAACATATTCCGAACAAGCAAACAGTGGATTTTTTTCAAACTGTTATGCGCATAACATTTAATGTTTCTAAGAGATTTATTTATAAATAATTCCTAAACGTTTGGGATTATTACTTTCTGACAAAACAAAAAGAAGAGTCTTACCCCATGAGGTTAAGAATTCAGCAGCGTACCGATAGATGCGGTTCATAATTTCAATCACAACTGCATAGATGATGCTAGGCACAAAAAGCATTAAGTTGCTAAAGGAAGTCTCATTCTCCTCATGATAATCCAGTGCCAATTGTTCCATATCAAAGTAAATCATCATGACATAGAGTGAGAGGTAGAGGCAAAGGCACACAAATGGCAAAGACACCAGATAAATTCGTAGCTGCCTTTTAATACTTGAGTATACTGGCTCTTCCTTGCCAGTGACAGGATTGATACCCAGGACCCCATGGAATCCTGGCCTTGGTTCCTCAAACTGCCGTTTCATCAACAGTGTTCCCCATCTATATGTCATTCTGGCACAGCAGCGCTTCCAAACTTCAAGAATCACCGTAGACCAAAGCAGATTGAATGAGGCAAACATCACGTACTTATCATAGTCTTCCCATGCAAACACATAATAAGGAATCCCAATGAGAGCCATAGGAACCAAAGCAAATGTGAAATACTCTAAGAAACCAAAATAGAGAGCAATTGTTTCACCAAAGTAGCAGCGTATTTCATCTGTGGAGAGAAAGACAGAAAAAATTACCCAAGGGAAATGAAAAAAGAATTTTTGGGGTTTTCTTTGGTTTTTTAACTATGCATATAGTTCCCTATTAACTTCTATTGCTTTAGAAGCTATCTAAAGGACACAAACAACCGATTGCTATGTTTTAGTGTTCTGAAGATATGATTGCCTGTCAGGGATTACCAAGATTAAACAGTTTATCCATTTACAAACCTCTTACTTGATTACAGTCAACAATTTTTAACATGGGTATCAATAAAAATTTAAATAAACTCATATAAAGACCATGGCTCAGTTTTCTAAATATAGGAGACAGACATAACTTTTTTCTATTTCTTCCTCCAACTTTCATAGCACCAAAAAGCCTATTTGAATGAAAAAAAAAAATCAAATGGAAGGAAAACTGTTAGAACAACTTGTCTTAGTGTCTATAGCCATGGTATTAAATATCTAGTAGAAATAAAATACTAGCTTCAAGTAAAGTAAGATGTAATGCAAAATGCTATGCTAATGTAATATTAAGATTACGTAGTTAGTCAACTGTAAAGATTTGAAAATTAAGTGTAACACAATACAATAGCATAGGTACTTCACACATATGCTGTCTTTAAGGGATGACAATGACAGAATGGTCTACCACAGAGCAATGGCTGATACTGAGACTACATTCAGGAGCTTGTCCCAGTCTTGAAAGTCTTCCCAGTTAGAAAGATCTGTTCTAGCCCTAAAAGATTTTGGTGAACTGGGCTTGAACTAGAGGTCTGCTCAGACTATGAAAAACCAAGAGCATGTCTTCACTGAAATCTCTTGAATGGCTGAAGCATGTGTACACCTAACTGAGCTAGGCTTACTTCGAAAACTCAGATATCAAGAGCAGCGAAACCATGGCAGCATAGTTACTTATTCAAGTAACTAACCTACTCTGTCAGTGCCACTGCCGCTTCACTGCTATTAGATAGCTTGATTAAAAGTAGCCTAGTTTTACCAGCAGACACTGTCAAATGTAGTGTAGACATGGCCTGAAATGTACTTTGCCAGCATGCCAGAAGGCTTCACTGGCCCCAAATGTTTGTTTTAACTTGCACAAAGACTTGTCCCATTTTTTTTTTTAATTTAAGTCCATGCTGGAATGTTATTTATTTGTTTTTCTATTAGATTTACATGTCACCCTTTCCAATAAAACAGAGGCGGGCAACTATTTCGGATGGAAGGCCACTTACCAAGATTTGGCAAGCTGTCGAGGGCCGCATGGGTAGCCCCACCCCTCGACAGGTGCCCCACCCCCTGGCCACCATCTTGTGACTGGAAGTCCTGCCCCCTAGCTCCTGACCTAGTCCAACACAAGTCCCTCCCCTTACCCCTGGAAATAGTCCTTTCAGCAAGGGGTTTTGCCATCTTGGAACCAGAAAAATACCAAATTATATTCTAAAATGATTATCTACAACATTCATTAATTGATTAAAAAAATATTTTTGTCCTGGTTTACATGCATTTGTGTAGTGTACATCAAAGCGATTGTATATAATAGCTTAAAATGAAGTCTTACTCTTTTATAGTGTGGAGGGGGAGTATGGGTGGGTGGGTATAGATTTGTGGGGGGCTGAGGGTGTGTGGGTCTGTGGTGGAGGGTGTGTGTGTGTGTCTGTGGAGGGTGGATAGGTGTGAGAGGTGTGTGTGTGGGTGGGTATAGGGTTTGTGGGGGACTGTGGTGGGGGGG